AAAAATAACATGTTAAAATGATAAGTAGAAATATGATAATGTTAACTTTATAATGTAGCAGCATATTACGACCCATGCCACCTGCATCTGACACTCCAGAACCCTGAGCAAACATGTCCGACTGCGATATCATAGAAACGGAAGAACTCGAACCACATGTGGCGTTCTCCCGTTGTGGTACTATTGAACTCCTAACACTTGTGTCCAATTGAGAGCACGTAGAAATAGTTTCACTGTCGACTCACCTGAAGAATTTGCAATCGTCCGGTCCTTGTCCCCACCGCGGGCACCTGTAGAATTGTCGTCCGTAACTATGTGTCTGTCGTGATGTGAAAAGCAATGACGGTAGCCCACATCGGCACATCATTTGCCCTGACTTCCCTGAATATCTCGAGCTCATTGTCCTGCAATTATTATAAAAATCGTTGATCAGTCAAAAACTAGATGGAATAAAAAAAAACTCAACATACCAAATTATGGAAGCAATTGTTGCAACAGAGTTTATTGGTCACCTGCATCTAACACCACTCTTATTAACTTCATAAAAATAACAAAATATCACTTTAAGTTCATATAACTTTTACAAAACTTAATGTTAATCAGATGCTAGTGCTATGCTCATCCAATCCTTATGGTTTTATCTTTGAGTTCATATAAATTTAGACAGTATAAACTTAACGATGTATTGTGCTTTTATCTTTTTCATTGAGAACTAAAACATATATGACATAGAGTATTAAATTCTATATTAACTTTGATCGAGGAGCTTTTTCAACACGTCGATAGCTCCAACACGTCGAGGAGGGTTTTCTACTTTTATTACATTGCATTGGAGCATTGAAACATTAATATAGGGTGATTACATAACAATCTGAAACATTAATATTTACAAAACTAGCACTTTTCCTCAATCATTTCTCACAATCACACTCAAATATCAAAGTACAAGATAGAACTCATACTTTTCAATTTAAATATATAACACAAAAAACAATCAAATTTTCATTTCTTACTCAAACAACACATCAGATAACTTGAAATCGCAATCTATGGTATGGTGCATCTTATGACTGCTCAACCCAGTAGATAGCAACCCTAGAGAACATCAAAAAGGTAAAAAATAAATGACATCGATTTTGTTTCATAAAGAAGTCCCATATTTTTACTCTTGACATCGACAAAGACAACAGTTGCGAACGCCTTATGCTATGGTGCTTCATATGACTGCTCAACCCAGCAGATAGCAGCCATAAAGAACATCAAAAAGTTAGAAAATAACCCATGATGGCATCAATTTTGTTTCATCAAGAAGTCTCATCTTTTTTATTCTTGACATCGACAAAGACAGCAGTTGCACCCGCCTTCCAAGCTGCTTAAGGCCAATGCGATAGAATATCAAAGAAGCATTAAAATCTGAAAACTGCCAGCAAAAGCAATCCAACGCTCCAATTGTGTGGGGGAAGATCCCATTTCGTGATGAGTTGCTATGACACAAGTAAAGGTTGTTGCAGTTGCAAGTAGGATTTAATAAAGAAAATTTTGACATTATATGCCCCAAAATTCACAAGTAGGAATTAACGCTACGAGACATTGTTATTGACACCAAAATGTGATTTGAAAGATTTGAATGGAATAAATGTAAAAAATAACGTTTGGATGCTATGTATCTATATACATAGAAATTTGGCAGTATATATATGTAAATGCCCTTTATTTATTTGGGCTATTATCTGCCAGAATAATTTTTGAACAAAAATGCCACCAAATTAGAAACAACATCACGATGATCAATCCTTTTGGCCATAAAAAAATCACTTTTGAAATCTCTAATTTGACTTGAAAAAGGAAACATACCTTTTTATGCATAGGAAAAATAACATATATGTAAAAATTGAAGTTTAGATGTTATGTAAAAACATGTTCAAGCTCAAATTCATCTTTGTTCCATAAAATAAAACATTCGACCAATGGCTCATAAAAGTGGTGGTTACCACTCTTATTCATTGTTCCACTCATTTATTTATGCACATTAATATGAATGGTAGCGAACAACTATTTGTACTTGTTTTGGAAAAGGGTAGAACGTCATATCCCGTAATATGACCCACTTCTTCTTCCACACTCCGAACGCTCTTTCAATTACGTCGCGCAATGAAGAGTGTCTTTTGTTAAAAACCTCTTTTTTGCCTCATGCGACATCACTAGATCTTTTAAAATCAGGAATGTGGTACTTCGTATCTGGATATGACTTTAGATATCCCATTTGTAACGGATATCCAGCATCAACCAAATAATATTTACCCAGAGGTGGGTACGAAAAGTGGGTACGGAAATCAATGTCTCAAGTTTCTGGTAGCGAACTTGAAAACACGGCTATCGTGAGCGCTTCCTTCCCATCCAGCCATGACAAAGGTGAAGCACATATTAAAAAAATCACATTAAAATCACATACGACCATAACATTTTGTGTTGGGGCGCCGCATCAGCCCATGTACGCAACTTTTTATTCACTAGATAGTCGGGCATCGACGTGCGTCCCATCAATAGCTCCAACGCAATCCTGAAGTTACAACTAAACTTTTTTTTAAACTGTAATGTAATAAAAGTAGAAAGATAAATGTAATGGTAAAAGACAGACCTTAAAAAATGACATGTATCGATGGTCATTTGCAATTTGTGAAGGAATTGAATGGAACGTTGGATCCTCAGGCTTCACTACCTTCTGGGCCAAACTCACAAGAGAGTTCAAACCGACTGAGAAATATCGGCTGATGGTTTCAGATGAATGTTGAAAACGCTCCATATCCTCTCTTATCGATTCATTTTGAGATAAAATGTATAAAGTTATTGCAAGCACTTCCCTTGGGGTTGTTCTTGCAGAGCCGTGTAACCCATGATGGATCCGGAGTTCATTTAGCAGATCATGAAATAGATCATGAAATATTTAATATTTCTTGTGTAAAACGGAACATATTAAAGAACCGTGTTGGATGACCCTGTAATAACTCACCAACCCATCCGTCTCCTACTTGAGTTGAAGTCATACATGGGTTTCGGTCATCGTGTTTAAGATATTAATAATACAATAAAGTAAGGGTAAATGCGATTGTGCGTATGTGGTGAATTTCTTCTTCATCCATACTACAAAATTATTAAAAGAAAAATAAATTAACTTTAGTAATAAGAACAAAAATATGCTATGAAAGATGAATATAACACATGAACTTTGGGCAAAACAAAAATAATATATAATAAAATTGGCCACACAGAAACAACAACCACATAGAAAGGTGAACTGTCTAAAACATCCACGAAGAAGATAAAAAAAAAGTGTGCATCACGTAAACATAACATTGAACTTATTATGTACAATAAAAATTAAAGTACATAATAAGTCAAATATTCAAATGTTAGTTCTTATGATGTTTCTTTCTTTCACTAAGCAACGTGAAAGAGAATGTTAGATGGATGTTTGGTAGAAATTGAAAGAATAAATTGAAAAATTATTATATCAGATATGACGAGAGTAGCATCTACTGAGATTAGATATATTTAGCTGATTGTAGCGCTTACAACTAGGGGTAGAGATGCTTAAACAAGTGGAGTAGATAAAAATTATTTAGAATGATTAGGAAGGACACCAGGACAAAACTCAATTATTGAATTAAACAAAACGGCTTATTTTGCATTTATATTAATTTTAGGGGCATTTACATACACACCATCCAATTCCTATATATTTACATAACTCACACCTAAACAATTCTGTTTACATTAATACCACCCAAATCTTTCATATCAAATAAAAAAAACCACCTTAAAAAGTGAGTACACCTTCTCATGCACAGGTAAAGTAGCCAAACATCTTAAAAAAATCTCATTGATATGATATGCCTTAAAAACATACATCTGTCTATGCAAATGGAAACAAAAGATTAGTTTTTTCTTATGAATGTAAACAAATTCCAAATAAAAATTCAAAGCAATCAAGATCGAATATTCACCTTCGAAGAACAACAATGTGCAATCAAAGCGAGACCGGGATTCCAAACTAGCGTCCGGATTCGAACGAATCTGCAAGAACGCAAGACCGAGATGCAAAATAGCGAGAGGAGAAGCCGGGATACAGAATAACGTCCGGATCCGCAAGTCCTTTCCCTTCTGCGTCCAACAACGACTTCGAACGGAGAAGATCCGACTTCGAATGGAGAAGCTGGAATACAGAATGGTGACGAGAGCGAGGACGCAACGACTACGAACGAAGAAGATCCGGCTTCGAACGTAGAAGCCGAGATACAGAATGGTGACGGGAGCGAGGACGCAACGACTTCAAACGGAGAAGATCCGGCTTCGAACGGAGAAGCCGGGATACAGAATGGTGACGGGAGCGAGAGGAGAAGATCCGGCTTCGAACGGAGGTTACGAGAGCTAGAGAGGCGAAGCGCTAGGGTCACGAGAGAGGCAAATGAAAAAGGCAAGGTCACGGGAGCGATCCATCGAGGGGTAATGCGTAAATAGGAATCGCGATATGCGGACCGCGTCTTTTAGAAATTCAAAAACGCTTTTTCAAATAATCCCTCAATAAGTGGGAACCAAACTGTGAGACGACGTTTTAAGCTGCCCCAAACGGGGTCTTAGATATGGGAAAATGATAACAAATGCTTCAGAGTGTTCTAATGACATCCACAAGCACGCTAGAGGGATGGTGCTTATACAAACACTGATATGCTCAATTTATTATAATCCTGTAACATAGTTGTAACCAATATATCAAAACAGAAATGCGTAATTTAGGGTGCGTTTGAAGCAGCTTGTACGTTTCAGAATAAACAACTTATATTGTAACACAGCCCGCGAGTAAACTGTGGGGGCAGTCTAAATTTAATGTAAAAATAAAAGGTGTTTCGGCATAAACAAACTAAACGCATGATCATAGGTCGCAAGCTCACCCAAAGGGCCTTAACACCTGCTGCGAGTGAAGCTTGACCCAAACGGGCCTTAACCCAATATTACGTCTGAATAACGTCCAGCGCTGCGTGTCTAGCGCAAAATTTTCTCTGCTGCTGCAAGTGAAGCTTGAAGGGTCGGGCTTTCCGCAATGGATATGGAGGGAGGAGGGTGCCTGAGCTCCTTCATCGACCAGGGGACGGTGGAGAGCCACCGCCTGTTTCTTGCGCGGCGAACAATCCTTGAAATGCTACGTGACCGTGGATACGTCGTTGCTCCCCCCGATCTTGAGCTTACTCTTTCCTCCTTCCGGTCGCACTACGGCCAATGCCCTGATCTGGAACGTCTTCGAATCTCCACTAATCTAGTTTCCGATCCATCGAAAAAGGTTACCCCTTCTCTGGAACTCACCCTCTCCCGAATTATCGGGGAACTAGAGTTTAGGGTTTTGGTCTCAGAGTGGACTTGATCACTTTTGTTTTCATTTTAATGTGCCCAAATAGTCAATGTTCCTGGTTTTAAGGCAAGCTACACTGCTTATCGTGTTTATTAGTTGTTGTTACTTTGTTGACACGACTTTGATTTCCTGCGCCGCGATTGGCATACGCAGATTTTTCTCCATTATTGCAAGCTTAGCATAGCAATTTCGTGGTAAATTTTGTTTATGAATCCCTGTAAGTTTCACCTCAACACTTATAAAATCTATAGTCACTGACATACGACATCTAATTAAATTGGTGGCATTGCGGAAGAATGGTGCTGCCTCCATTGAGAGCCATAAGTATATGAAAGTAGGAGGGCGAGGAGGTATTGTATTTAGTGCCCGCAAGTTATGAGTATGCCGCTCTAGCGTATTGCTCGGTTGAACCATTTGGAAAGTCAATACTTTACCACTGGCGATATTTCTAGCTATTTCTGTCATTTCTAGAAATATTTGAGCTATTTTTAGTTAATTTTGCTTATGAAATGGAAAAATCAATAATGTTTACTAAGCTTTTAGTCCTTTGATCTTTATTTCGTTAGTTCTCAACCACTTCAAATGCTATGAATTATTGACTTGGAAAAGTTTCTTGTTTTGAGCAAATAATAGCATGATTTCTGCCTGCACTTTCTATTTTGTTTTGAGGCGGTGAGGAGAAAGTGAGGGCTGCATTTTACTGTGAGATGTTGAGCCCCTCCCCTAAATATATTTGGATTTTTTACTTTTATACAACCTAAATATTTTGTCTGTAAATCACACCCACAAATCTTAATATAGATGGCAGCCAACCAATTCGTACTATCTTGTATACCAATTCATATCCATTACTAATCTACCATGGACATGCAGTCATGGACCTTTGGGTTTCATCCAGTCATTCTTCAAAAAATTACTTCTCCTTCCTCCTATGTGGCCAACTCCATGGATTAGGTGGATTGGTAGACTATGTATTGGCTTGTTAACCATCATTTGTGAGGAAGGAATGCTCAACAATGTTTATATTGTATGCACAAGTGTAGAACAATATCTTATCCATGGTCACAAGAGTTGTGTTGCAGTCACCAAATATATTGGAACGCAACCACATTTGTTTCCTGATAGGAATTACATGACAATATGAGGCATGGGACAATTTGTAGGAAGTTGTATTTGGTGGGAATTACCTTATTCAATATGTGTAGTTTAGAAAATCGGTCCTGACCGGCCGGTTCGACCGTGAACTGGTCATAAATCCGGTTCCGGTTGGCATAAAAAACCACTCCCTCGTAGAACCGCCTGGAACCAGGTTGACGGTTCAATCCCTGAACCGTTGAACTGGCTCCGGTCGGTTCACTGGCATTTACATACATACCACCAAATTTTATGTATTTTACATATCTAACACTTTATCTCTATCTTTTACATTTATATCACCCAAATCACTGATATAAAATTTAAAAAAAAATCATTATTACAAAGAAATTAAATTTACCTACATACCACCTCAATTTTAGTTATTTACATATCTAAGACCTAAACTCTTTTTATTTTACATTTATTCCACCAAAAATATCCATATCACATATATCATATCACTATTTTAATTTTTAAAAAGTGAAATACATGTTTTCCTGCCTATAGATAAAATGACATGTTAAAATTGAATTTTATATGTTAGTTATTTAAATACATATGAATTGAGTGGGATGTAAATCTTATGTATTGTCTTTTTTAAATATATTTATGATTTATTTTATATAACAACCTTACAAATTTCATAACATGCTTACAAACATCCGAACGAGAAGACTTTTGTTAGATGCTAGGGCTAGCACACATATTTTGATTACGAGAGAGGAGGAAGAAGCCGAAAGAAGAAAAAGAAGAAAAGTAGCTAATTTTTGCTCTGCCCTCGTTTTCAGAGAATGGAGCATTAAATAGGCCGAGAAAGGCTCAGTGGTCGTCATAACTGACAATATCATCAATAATTTGCTTCTGCATATGTGGCCAATAATTCAGTTGTTGGAGAATAAAGTTAGAAAAAATTGAGTCGGTTGTGCATTATTGCTGTACGATTAGATTCTTTCTTAATAATTATCTTGCTTTACAGACTAGTGGAGAGTAAGTCTCGTACGAAAGATTCTTTTTGGATAATTATTTTGCTTTACAACTTTTTTGTTTATATCCCACTATTTCCGGCTTCAAGTTATTCTCGTACTCCTTGTAGAGTATCCCGCTTTTGGCAATACATACATTTATGTATTTTTTTTGTAATTTTTGACAAAATAATTCTTTTATTTCTTTGCTGGTTGCCATAATATTTCTACTAAGAATGACTTTATGTATCTTGCACGTCAGCTGCTTGCAATGACTATATTTGAATAAATTCTCTAAATAATGATAGACCTAAATGTTGGCTGGATTTAGCTTTTTAGTTTCATTCCAAATTTGATATAAATCATCAGCTTTAGATCTTTACTACTAATTTCAAGCTGTATAAACGAGATAATTCTTTCTCATGGTTCGGGATAAGTTTGATATAATTTCATATATATATTTCAGTGCTTGACAACCAAGTGAAATGTTTCCACGATATCAATAACTGATTTTGGTAATTCTTTTAGAAGATTTTCATCTTCTAAATAAATCAAGCTTACTAAGCCGCATTTATATAATTCAGAGATATGTTTGGAATCAGTATTTCCATATATATAAACGATTTGAAATTTTTCAGCTGTATGAAAATAAATTTGAGAATTAATTCTTTTCTCATATAGAGATAATTACTGTCATTCATCAGATATTTCTGTAATACTCTTTGCAGAGTTAATTGATGTATTTTGCAATCCCTTGACATACGAAGATATTTTATTTGAAGAAGTAGGTACTTTTATAATTTTGAGACTCGTAATTCACTAATTGAAGAGGTGGATGCCTCTTTTGTAATTGAAGAAGCGGATGTTTCTTTTGTAATTCTGAAATTTGCAAAATATCGTATTGTTCGTAATTCAGTAATTGAGGGTAATTCATTTTCATGGATCTCTCCATTCAGAAAAATTTTTACTTTTACGAGTTTCTTTAGAATGTTATTGACGTAGACAATTCCTTATTCTAATTTTTATATTTGTGATTCAAGTATTTTATAATAACTATTCAAGTCTAGGAGGGTCTTGTCGTCGGCTTCGCCGACTATGTTGTATATTTTCATACTTTCAATATATTTATTTACTATCTGCATAATTCACATGTCAAAATATCAGCAAGAGCATTTTTTTATTTCCCTCAATATATTTTATATCAAAGGTATATGCAGAAAACCAGCTTTGTCATCGTATGAATCTTTAATTGGATAAAAAATCTATGATTTTAACTTTTTTAAATAAAATAGCTATTTTATTATCTTTCTAATAAAAAATCTCAAAATTTTAAATTCTTTTTTTGGTTGCTAATAATTCATTTTCGTTAATATAATAATTCTGCTCTGTTGTTGTATACGTACCTGATCTATATCTAATTTTCATATTTGTAATTCAAGTATTTCTAAATAATTGCTCAAGTCTGGAGAGACTTGTCGTCGGCTTCGCTGGCTATGTTGTATATTTCCACACTTTAAATATCTGTATTCACTTTCTGCTTAATTCACGTGTCAAAATTGTCTGCAAGAGCATTATTATTTTCCTCAACATATTTTATATCAAAGAAATATGCAAAAAATCAGTTTTGTGATCATATTAATCTTTTAGTGGGTAAAGAATCTATGATTTTACCTTTTATAAATGAAACAATAATAAAAAAAATTTCATTTAAAAAAATCTCAAAATTTTTAATTATTTTTTTGATTGCTAATAATTCTTTTTCGTTAATATGATAATTTTGCTTTGTTGTTGTATACGTACTCGAGCTATATCTGCACAAAAAGCTTAGTAGAATTTCGTCGAGCTTTTAAGATGGCTCCCCATGCTAATTCAGAGTTGTCAGTTTTTATAATTAAACAATCACCAGCTATAGGTAAATGTAATTTTGAAATATTTTTGCATAGGTCATTAATTTGTTGTAAAATTTTTTATTTTTTTTCATCCAAAGCCTAAGCTATATTTTTTCGTAACTTCTTTTGTAAAGGGGCTCGTAACTCAACAAGAGTTTTGATAATTGCTTCGGTGTAATTTATACATCATAGAAAATGCTGTAAATCTTTTTGATTAGTAATTTGTTTAAAATAATCAATTTTTGTTACAATATATTCTTGTAATTCGATTGCTTCTTTATCTATAGTAAGTCCTAAAAAATTAATGGTATTGGAAACAAAAACAACTTTTTTTTTGCTCAGAGCAATTCCATGTTTTTGTGTTTTTTGTAAGAATAAGACTAAATGCTTTAGATGCTGCATAATAGTTTGGTTGAATATTAAAATATCATCTACATAGATAAGATAAAATATTTACAAGATTAAGGGCTTATAGTTAATAGAAATAAGATTGGTTATATGTGCAAATTCAGTGGTTTTGATATTAGCAATTTTTAAGCCTTATTATTACATACAGTGATATTAATGTGTGACATGTTTAAATATCTTGGAACAATTATACGTAATAATGATTGTGTATAAAGATTTATTTGCTTGAGGTAAGAGTGGATAGTTAAAATGGAGAGGTGTCGTAGGAGTTCTATACTTCTATGTGATAAAGAGGATATTATGGAAATTTAATAGATAAAATTATATTAATTAAACTATAGTTAGGACAACTATGTTGCTTTGATTTGAATGTTGAATAGTAAAAATTCATTAATAGTTGAGTGTGGAGGAATTGAGAATGTTAAGATAGATATTTGATAAAACCCTAAACGATGTGCTACAAAATGATTATGTTGGAGCCGTGAATGGAGTTGAAAATACTAGTTTATTTGAGCCATGCTAAAAAAAGGTTTAAAGATACACCAATTCGATGGGTAAATAATTTAAGCATCCAAGAATTGGGAAGAGAAAAGTGGTAACCCTAACATAGTATGGAGAGAGGCAGACTTGCATAATGAAACAGGACTCAAAACGAGTATTTTTAATTATCAAATATATAATGTGTATAAAATAATATGCATATAATACATTTTATTCTCTATATGTATGTGTATAAAACTAATTAAAAATTAATTTGTGCTGATTGAAAATTAAATTTTGAGTTAAGTTTAGTTGAGTTTTAGTCAAATTATGCAATTTTGAGTTGAACCAAACTTTTTTGAATATGACTTGCCATTACCCTTTCCCATTTGGAACAAATCAAGATCAAAAGACAGCATATCTGATGTAACCTTTAAACGGTTGTTATTGGGCCTTCTTTTCATTTCCTAAAGCTCCTCTCCAATCTTAACTTTTTAAAGAAAATTTTGGTACTAATTTGCAGACCTTCTAGTTACTTTTCTTATGTTTGGGCAAGTTGAACGATGTTTGACAACTCAAAGCCAAGTATCTCAAAACAAACTTGTTGAGATTCTCAATTTTCAACTTGAGTTATCTCAACTTTATGAGGAGCACATTTTCTTATTAACTCTCCATTAAGGTTCCAAGATTGATGCCTCATAAAAAAAAGATCATGAATTTATTTGAGGAAGGAATTTCATAAAATTTTATCTTGCCCTTGCGGTGTCATTCTCACTTAAAAAAATCAGAATAAGTCGAATGGCCAGGGAATTCCTCAAAACTAGCAAAAATATAAAAAGGTGGCTGCCAATATAATTTGATTATTTGTACTGAGATAATAGATAGTCAGATTAAAATATCAATGATAAATTAAGAGTGAGGGCGAGAGAAACCACTCTTTAATTGATTAGTGCAAAGCCAAATTCATCCATTGGGAACATGTGGTGACAAACTCTTCCTTAATTGCAGCCTTCAATATGAATTATGTTGGAATTTCACACAAATCTCTCAGAAAGCTTTGCTCCATCATAGTTATGGCTCTTATCTCCACCTTGGCTTTATTGAATAATGAAGGAAAATCAAATATGGTAGAAGCCTTCTTGGTGAGTGATCTTGAGAGCATAGCTAGAGGAAAATATATTTTGAAGAAGTATGGACATGTTTTTCTCTTTTGTCGCGTTATTTTATACAAGAACCCTAAATGGTTGGAAACCATAAGCCACACACAAACATCAAAGAGGCAACCACCAAGGTCATTGTTTTTAGAATTAAAGGTGCTTCTAGTCACTTATAGTTTCTATAGCTTCTTGCGCAAGTCAAATAAAATTGCTTAGCTTGTGAATTGCGCTTAAATAATTTGTAATATATAACTTGAGGAATTATTATTTAGTAGCCCATTTTATTAATGGGTCTATATAACAATTAGTCATAAGTGATGGAACCTCATAAGCCTTCATCTAGAATCATCACACAAAATGGTAAGAGAAGGAAAATCTATTACTAATCTCATATTAGGATTATAGGTCATGCTTCTCAATTCGACCATCTCCCTTGAAACAACCTAATTTCATTTATATAATATCGATAGATTGAGGTTAGTCTTGGATTGTTGAAGACATCAACACCAAGGTACTAGTAGGTGACAAATTGAATTCTATTGTTTATTCCATAAATTTAAGAATTTGCATCCAAACCTTCAAGTAGAGGAAGCTTTGAGGTCATTGGTTCAGGGCCTATAAAAGGTGGCTTGGGTTTTTCAAATCTTTGATGATGTGCAGTGTGCCATTTAACCATCTTGATTCTCTCTTGTAAGAAGGCATTGACATTTCCTAAATGGTTGAGTTAAACCATTCATCCTTCTCAAGTTTCTCACTTAACATAAAATCAATGCACTCAAGTCTCTCAAGGCGCTCCTTCATAGTATCAAAGTTATTAAATAAGGTCCTTGGTCCAATTATCTTCTATTAATCTACTAGAATTACATAGAAAATTCTCCGAGTTCGTTCATGGTTGTTTACCTTTGCCTTAGTTGGGAAAGTTTTTAACTCAATTGCACTAATGGTATCCCTTTCTCATTGATGGTTGAAGTGTTAAACAAAGCACCCTAACTGAACAGAATCTGGGAGTCTTTTTAATTCTTAATCTTATTATGATAATGACTCCTTGGGGCAGCTTCACCCAAATGCTTATTGACATATTCTTGGATTAAATCATGATAATTTTAATTTAAGATATGCCAACATTATTTTGATGATTTTATTCCTATAGAGTGGGGTTAATTGAAGTAACTTCTCATTTGCGGGTTATTGGGGTTAAAATTGTAGTGATGATCATTCTTATATTAATAGCATTATCAAATGTTTTATTGTTGGGGGGGGGGGGGGGGGGGGGGTAAGAAGAGGAGCATCTCCACAGGTAGGGTAGGTGTTGTATGGGTAGGAGGGTTGTCACCTATGTTTGGGAAAGAAAAGAGTGCAGTGAATTTTTGCCCATAATAAGTAGTTTGCATATGTCCCGTAATACTCTTAGTTATTTGATTTTAAAATGAGTATGCATATGACTAATCACATTAACTCCATCAAGATCTTGAATACTTATAATTGAATCATATTTAGGGCTAACACATAGTTATTTGTCTCTGCTCAACTTTTATGGAAAAATTGAAGCCTTTTAATAATTATGACTAATCACGAAAAGCCCCAACCCTTCGAAGTTGAACCTAATTAAGACCAAGCAATTATTATTAGTGCGTGTCCTTGAAAATTGATTAGATTTCCTACTTTGTTAAATCTTTACAGTCACCAAAGGCTCTTAAATTACCAATTTATTAGAAGAAGACAATTATTCAAAATGTTGCTTTCAAGGCTTGCCTTTTAGGGGTCTTTGTTAATACTTTGTAGCTGAGCCATCAAAGAACTTATTCTTGGGAGCTAAAATTACTGTAAATTAGACGGGAGACTTTCATCTGTAACTGTTGAAGGGTTTAAAAGAATATCATTTTTTATTTCTTTATGGTCTCTATATGACCTGTATTATATTGCATGTTACATTAATCTCGCCTATATAAGTGCCCCTCTTTCTAATTTCGTCCTCTTTGTCTGTGTCGGCGGTGGGG